CATAACATTATACATTTATATATATATTTGTTATTTTTATTTATATAGACCTTTCAGCCATGCCTAGATAACAATACAGAAGTTACAATGACGGATCGCACGTGCACTCATGTTACTGCAACTAATAACACAAAACTGAGCTTTAGTCTGTATAAAGTGATCTTGTCTTGGCTGTGTTTTAGTGGACTAGTATTTTGTAAAATACAGTCACATTTCAATTATTATGCATTAAGTATGTATATAGATTATTGCTATTTTGAAATAAATTCTTAAATTTATTTTTCTTAAAACATAGAACAAGTAAAGCAAACAATTATCTCTTCTAGTTGTGGCCGTCGTACTCGGTTGCTAAGCCTTTTAAAATTTTGCACTTTGAGGATATGAAACAAAATATTTTTTTAGGTTTTATATGTACAGTTGAATAACCAAAAAATAATAAATGTTATATTAAATAAACTATCTCAACGTCTTTTTATAAACCGGGCTGGAATGATAAAAGTTAGAGGGGCTAGGTATCAAGCAGAAGAAAATAGGAAAACCACAAAAAGTTTCATAATTGTAATTAAAGGTTTTTAAAGCAGTAATGATTTTAAACTGACAAGAAATTATGCTTATTCTAACACATTTTTAAAAAAAAAGTTTATTTTGAAACTTAAGTGAGTTTTGAGATTCAGTTGTAAAACTTTAGAAAAGTGATTTATAGGAGGCCACCAATTGTGTGTTTGTTAGGAATTAAATTAAATTAATTATTTCATCTTCTGAGTTAATTTGTCAGGGGTTTTGTCATTTGAAAGTACTCCAAAAGATATAAATAAACGTTTTTGTACCTCGTGTATTAAGATATCTATTTAAAACTAAAATATTACATTTATCCTGACATCAGACAGATTGTTGAAATTCAGTTTTAAAACAGTAGCAAACTACTTATGTTACTGCATTCCTTTATAAAACTTGAGAAACTTTCTTAGTGTTTCACTTATGATGAAAAATTAATTAATCATATTGATTATTTGTGTTCTTGAATCATGAAATCACTATTTTTGTTTTTTCAGGGGCGATAGTGATGGAGAAACCTAACGTAAAGTGGTCTGATGTGGCTGGATTAGAAGGTGCAAAAGAAGCCTTAAAAGAAGCTGTAATACTTCCGATCAAGTTTCCTCATCTTTTCACAGGAAAACGGAAGCCTTGGAAAGGCATTTTGCTTTTTGGAGTAAGCTGGATCTTCTTTTTTTTTGGTCATTTGTTTCCTATTTGGGAAAGGTAAATTTTAAACTAAATTTAGTACACTTTACAAGAAAGGTATTTGTATGTATTTTTTAACTGATTAGTTTACTTTGCAGCCTCCTGATAAAGAAAACATTTTTCTAGCTAAAGTGGTATCAACTGAGGCTATCTTGTTTTTAATTTTTTCCTTTACTTCGCAGCCTCCAGGGACAGAAAAATCTTTTTTTGGCTGAAGCAGTAGCTGTTGAGGTCATTTTATTTCCTTATTCTGGTCTTTGTTTACTTTGCAGCCTCCAGGTACAGGAAAATCATTTTTGGCTAAAGCAGTAGCTACTGAAGCCAATAATTCCACATTTTTCTCAGTATCTTCTTCACATCTGGTCTCCAAATGGTTAGGAGAAAGTGAAAAGTGAGTACCAGTAATCTCTGTTATCTTTTTAATTTTGCAAGATAAAAATTCCATAAGTTCACTGTAATGTATACATAAAGGGTGGTTGTTTAGAAATTGGTCAAATGATTTATTCTGTTAACTCTCCATATGGTGGATTGCACCTGACCTTTAACCTCAAAGTAACCATCAGTTTTCGTACTATAACTTTCAGTATGGTACGTGTACCTTATTGAAATTTGACAAACTTTTAGTAAACACTGCAAGTCTTTTTTGTACAAAACAAAAATCAGATTTTTGAATAACGTATTTTTACGAAAGGTTTGTGTGTGAACATATTGAGTCATAGTGTTGACTGCTTCAGGTGCAAAGTGATTGTCATGTTAGAATTAGAAATACTTTTCTTCATTTGAAAATTTTCATATTTAATTCATGTGACCTGTAAGACCTCCTAAATAAATATGAAATGTTTTTTGGGTTTTTTTTTAATAAAACTTTTTTTCTATCTGTAATTGTCTCTACCCTAACTCTATACAGACTCGGTCAATTTGACCGACCTTGTAACTACCGTAAAAAAAATACAGAATATATCTAACTGACCTTTTTTTCTATCTAGAATGACTGCAGATTTTAACAGAAAACGTTTCTACAGTTGTTTATCCTAAATAGCTTAAAGCTTGTAACAGTTTGCATCTGTTTATATATAATTTTATTATCCTTTGAACCTGTCTAATTAATAAATCTGCCATACAAGTCGTAAATCGCTTAGTGAACAAGTAGCTCAAATTATGGTATTAAATGGCTTAATGTCATGAGCAAACTTTGAGGAAAATTTGTTTTCATTATCTTATGAAATCTAATCTAATAAGTTTTTAATTTTTATGTTTTATTTACTTTTATAACAATAAATAAAAATATAATTGAAAAACAATAAATATAGCACTAACCTTTGACCTCATTATTTTGCTATTGGCTGCCAGTGAAGTTTGAGCCTACTTTTTTTTATACTAATGGTACCAGTACACCAGATTTTGTATTTAATTGAGTAATGCACTTGAAAACACAGAGTAATAATATGTTCAAAGCAAACTGTGTCCTATAACTATTATAATTTAACTGTGTTTTTTTTAACTACGGTATAAGAGTCTTAAAGTGTTTATTTAAGTGTTTGAAGTAAAGTGTCAGAAGTATTGTCAGTTTGTAGAACAGAGGATATGACAGGTTGGCATGGCAAGTGGATCCAACTTTCTAGTTTATGTTTCTGTAAACAGAAAAGGGTGAAGGATCCTGCTGAAACCTTTAAGTCAAACTGTTGGTATCCTAATAAACTCTTCCTTCGTGTCTCCATTTATCCTGCTTCAAACTTCAGTCAAACTGTTGGTATCCTAATAAACTCTCCCTTCGTGTCTTCATTTATCCTGGTGCAACCTTCAGTCAAAGTGTTGGTATCCTAGTAAACTTTCATTCCATGTTTGCTTTATTTTTATGTGGACCTTTATTAACATTATATTGTTTTTCATTTTTCAAAGGAAAATGTTATTGTCTAGTTTTCATGCTGCAGAGCTGACAGTTTAATAGTAACTTTTCACTTACCCCTCTGGCTTTAATTCTTCTCCACACATATAAAACTTTAAAGATAGATTGATATTTAAACTTTGACTTATAAAAGTAGGTGTTGGAGAATCTAATTTTTATGCTTCTGTTCAATCCAAAATTTGATGTTTTTAATAATCCATCTTATTTTTTTTTGTCACTTTTATTACTTCTCACCATAGTCTTAGTTTCCTAAACTGACACCAGAGTATTTCCAACTGTTAACATGTGAATAAGAACAATAGTTCCGTGTGTATGTTAAGTCGATTTTTATTGGACTAAGCATCCAGCTTTTCAGAAAAAAGTTCTACTCAGAGCTCCACCTGTTATTGCTGTACGAAACTTTAACAACTGTTACTGTTTCTCTTTTGTAATAGGCTGGTGAAAAATCTGTTTGAAATAGCTCGACAAGATAAACCAAGCATCATTTTTATAGATGAAATTGACTCCCTCTGTAGTTCACGGTCAGACAATGAATCAGAGTCGGCTAGGAGAATCAAAACCGAGTTTCTTGTACAGATGCAAGGTATTAAAAATCAAAAATTTATATTGAATTTTTAAATTTACACCTTAGAATACACGTATAGCTTAGTTTAATAAATTCTTTTACTAAAATATCTGATTAATTTTAAATCTAAATATTTACTAAAAAATGACAACAAAACCTTCCGTGGATCTCTCATAACTCGTGGAACCAAACAGTTGGTTTACTATATTATATGATATAGTAAATACGTATTGATAAAGTGTATATTTCTGTTTTACACAATTCATGAGAACATCATATTTAAGAGAATAAGTTTCAGTAGTATCTGGCAAGTAAGATTTGATTAATAGAAATACTTGGAGTACCAGATACATGTATGAAAATATAGCTAAAGTAAAACTCAAGCTAATTGGTAGAGATACTCGGGAACAACATGTTGCTGAAATGTTTGTAGCTCACACACACATATCAAATCTTTGCATTCTACCATTCACTATTTATTGTCTTTCACATCAAAAATTACACTATAATTAATATTTTTGTTACTTTGCTGAGCAGCAGAAGGTATATTTGACAGGTTTTTAAAAACATCTGACTGTAACTGTGTGCAAAGTTCTTAGGGGATGGGAAAAAAGGGCTGTGAACAGACGTGTGATATTTGATAAATTAATTTTATCCAGATTTAGTTGTACATTGCCTATTATAGGTGTCAACACCGACAATGATGGAATTCTTGTTTTGGGAGCGACCAATATTCCGTGGGTCCTAGATGCTGCCATCCGAAGAAGGTATGTTACTTTCAGAAACAGGCTTAAACTATGCAACTTTTACTGTGGTATTTAGCATATGTTGTGTTTATCTCATTGTTTCCCAAAGTATGGAGGAGCATGAGCATGTAGATTAGTGGGGGCACAAGAAATCATATTTATTAAGGGGGAGGATGTGGATAACAGGCGTTTGGGAAATGCTGGTTTACATGATTAATCTTTTTTCTACAGGAGATTATTTCTGAACAACTAAAATAATTAATCTAAAGATTAACCAATCAAAATCCTAGTAAGTTGATTATTAATCTTCCTTCTCCTTTCATCTTTCTCATACAAAGAATTTGTTTAAGGTTAATAAGATTATTTGTTGACTCCTAAGTATAGTTTTGTTGTAATGTTAGTGATACATTTATTTTGTCATTATAGTATTTCTGTTGTATAATCAGTGCTAAAATATTCACAGAATTTTTAATCTTTAAATATTTTTAAAGCTACTATTTGGTCTTAAACCACTAAAATACCTTACATTTTATGATTTAATAATTTTATATTTAATGACATATTAACCACTAACTCAGAGCTTTATTTTTTATTGTTTCAAACTACAGTATTTTTACCATGTCGCATACAATATATCACCTCGGTAACTTCATATCTCCGTGTTCATTTCAACTGTATATAGTGTAGGCTACCTTGGCTATGATTGTAATAACAGCCCACAACAGAATCATGGTATGTAAAAGAAAAAATAGGCGTGTGTTCGAATAAGTTTTAACTCTCTGAGGTTAAATGTATTTTTCCAGATTTCAGGTAAATTTTAACTTTCTCAGATCAAGAATATACAAGATAAGTGTAGATGAAATTTCTTTTTCACTGAACAATGTAAGTGGACCATCAACTGAATACTTGGAAGCTGAGTTAAGGTTTTAGGTTAGAGAAGAAATTACATCTTATTGTCAGAAGAATTAACTGTCATCTTCACATAGGGTTGAATTTCTTTAGGTCTGAGAAGGGAATTTATATCCTTCTCAGGGATCAAAATATTACATTCCTTAGGAATTTCATCTTTTTAGTTGACTTTCCCTGATCAGGAATGTATAGTCCACCCATATTCCTTTAGTTATAACTAATTAAATTGAACATATTGCATGGATTAAACAAAAATTATTGGTGAGGAAATCCGACTTTGTATGAGGGAATGTAATCCTTCTGATAGCTTTCCCTCTTATATGAGTGTAATTTTATTTCATTATTTCTATTCCTGCTTTTACCAGAAGAGTTAACTGACTTTATATATCTTCCTTATTGACATAGGGTTCTAGTAATGGTTTAGGTTTGAGAAGAGAATTTACATCCCCTTACCAGAAGAATTGACTGACTTTATATATCTTCCTTATTGACATAGGGTTGTAGTTATGGTTGAATTTTGTTTAGGTTTGAGAAGAGAATTTACATCCCCTTGCCCGAAGAGTTAACTGACTTTATATATCTTCCTTATTGACATAGGGTTCTAGTAATGGTTGAATTTTGTTTAGGTTTGAGAAGAGAATTTACATCCCCTTACCAGAAGAATTGACTGACTTTATATATCTTCCTTATTGACATACGGGTTGTAGTAATGGTTGAATTTTGTTTAGGTTTGAGAAGAGAATTTACATCCCCTTACCAGAAGAATTAACTGACTTTATATATCTTCCTTATTGACATAGGGTTGTAGTAATGGTTGAATTTTGTTTAGGTTTGAGAAGAGAATTTACATCCCCTTTCCCGAAGAGTTAATCGTCTTT